GTTTTTGTTTGTTTGTTTGTGTTTCTCAATATCATTTTACTTACCATTTCAGGGCTGCAGTCCATTGTGCGAAGCGCCACTGACGGATACGTAGGCCTTTCATAATATGTTATGAGGCGCCAGAAGGTGAGACCTGGAGACATGAAGAGGACGCGGCGTTGTTGCATGCACGCACGCGTGGCCTGTTTCCGTTTTACTAGTGATCTTGACGTTGGTATTTTCTTTGCGCATGTGAAAGAACGGTGGGAGTCTGCTGTGTGAGTTATTGCAATGAACACAGAGAGAGAGAGAAGGAGAAAAACACACATGCACACAAGTCGACATTTAAAGGCCCCCGGCTTTTGTCTTATATCTGGCACTGGTGAGAAGGAAATTGCAGCTCTTGTGCTTCCCTAAGACGTGCATGGATGTCACGGGTGGGGGGGGGGGGGGGGGGGGGGGGCTTTGTGTGTGTGTGCGCGTGTCTGTATTAGTAACGGTGAGGTAGTGAAGAGGGACAAGAAGCCCAGGGAGTTGCAAACACGGTGACAGCCTTCATGCTGAAAGGCAAGCCTTAATGGCGGGTCAGTCATGCGCGAGGGATGCTGCGGCGACGGTGCTCCTTTTTGCGATAAGGAGCGCGAGTTCTCCATGGATGGGGAGGAAATCGAAGGGGCACGTCGTAAAGCGGCAGACGCCCACACAACTGCTGCGTGTCTGCGAACAAAACTAAAAATAAGAGCGTACCCCTTCTTTGTGTTTTGTTTTTATATGAACTGTTTTGGAACGCACGACATGGCAGTTCCTCAGATGGACGGCAACAAGCCTCACATGCAAGCACGACATTTGCAGAGGGAGAAACAAGACGAAACGAACGAGGAGCCAACGATTTATAAATTTGCACATGGGAGCTGACCACTACGGCCAGGCACTCACACACACACACACACGAATAAGAAAAAAAAAAAAATAGTAGAGACACAAACACGGACGTAGATGTTTACGGAGCCCGTCCCCCTACGCAAGTGTATTGACATCCGATGTGACTTGTTTG